GCTTTCAATCTCTCTGTCTCTCCGGTGAGTGCACATGCCCTATAGCAAAAACCTCTCCAAAAAAAGGAATTAATTTTATTTATCATCATCATCATCATCATCATTTTTCAATTTGATATAGGCACTTACCAGAGAGAATCAGGTAAGAGAGACGAGAAAAGTGAGAAAGCAAGTTGCCAGATCTGGGACTCGAACCATGGTCAGCCATGTGGAAGCCCAGTGCCTAAGCACCATGCCACCTGCTGACTCCACTGTTGCCTTTTTTAGTATTTGACTTGATAATTTGTGCTTCTATAAGTGTTTCTAAATGAATGCATGAATGAGTGAAATTTTCTTCTGGGCCCTATCTTAGAATTCTAACTTTTCTTGCTATGACAAGAAAAAGAAAAGTTCTTAAGAACTTTTTGCAAGAGTCAAATAACTTCATAATGAGAGACTTCCTACTTTTGTAATGGCCATTCTAATGAAAGAGATACTGTATAATTCATCTTTCTGTGAAACAGAAAAAAGGGGGAGAAGAAACCTAGTGAATGTAAAAGTACACTCAAGAAAGTTATCTTGAAGCAACTGGGTACTCTCTCTCTCTGTTTTGTTTTGTTGTGTTTTTTTTTTTGGGGGGGTGGGGGAGAGGTTTTTGCTATAGGGCACATACGCTCGCCATAAAGATGGCCATGCTGCAATCCCATTTCTTCCATTCACCTCTCGGGATCTTCGGCATGCATGCACATGGGCCCGGCGTGAGTTTAAGCTACCGGGTCTGGGACTTGAATCGCGGTCGACTACATGGGAGTTCAGAGACATAGCCATTATGCTAACTGCTGGTCCCTCTCTCTCTCTGTTAAGAGAATAATTTTGGGACAAGCCTCTTTTGGAAAACTGGCAATATAAGCTGATGCCTTAAGCATAATATGTAACCCAACAAATCTTCTTCTAATATGCATTCAAAGTAATATGTGCATAGGTATCAAAAAAATTTACAACAGAACCAGCAGTTAGCGTAATGGCTATGTCACTGAACTCCCACATAGTCGACCACAGTTCGCGTCCCGGACCTGGTGGCTTAAACTCATGCCGGGCGTGTGTGCGTGCCTGCCCAAGATCCCGAGAAGAGAATGGAGGAGAAGGGATTGTGGCGTGGCCATTCCCCCCTGGGGGTTGATGTCTCGCTTTCTGTTCCTCTGTATCTCTCTGTCTGGTGAGCGCACGTGCCCTATAGCGAAAAACCTCTCAAAAAAAATTTACAAAAAAAATTCATAATAATAATGTTTGTAATTACTCCCAAATAAAAACTAAATGCCCCTCAACAATAAGACGGATAAATAAAACTGTGGTTAATTCATATAATTTAACATACAGCAATGAGATCAAATGAACAACTGAACATGGATGGATATGACAAACGTAACATTAAAAAAAAGAAACCAGACACATAGTATATAGATATACAAAGTTCAAAAATAGCCAGAAATTATAAATACTGAGAGAAATTAAACAGTGGCTATCCCTGGGGTGGGGCTAATGACTAGGATGGAACAGAAAGGATCTTTCAGCATACCTGGGTGATACTCTATTTTAATTTATCACTTGTGGTGGTTACACAAATGTGTGCATTTTGAAAATTAAATGAATGTGCTGAAAGAAGAAATGAGAGATATACAGAAGCTGGTAGATAAAGATACATGGTTTAGGAGCAGGCAGATGGCATGGTGGTTAAAAGCACTGGATTCCTGTATGGCCGACCACAGTTTGAATCCTTGATCTGGCGGTTTGCTTTCTCACTTTCCCTTTCTCTCTCTCTGTCTGGTTAAATTAAAAATTAATAATCACAAATGAAAATAAATAAATAAGTCTAAAAAATACTAAGAATTAACCCTATTTTTTTAAAAAAAGATACATGTTTTTTTTTTTAAAAAAAAGGTGTATATATACACATATTTATATAGATAGATAGATAGATATATCTATATATCATATAGCAAAGCTTCAAGAACTAAAGTGAGTTTATGTTTAATATCTGAGGGTGTGGGGTAAATGTGAAAGAGAAAGATCTCAAAGGAAGTGTAAAGAGAAAAGGTTAAGTTTTCAGGAAAAAGAATTACCCTTAAAGAGAAGGCAGAATATCACTTATTCTGACTAAATAAAGAAGAAATAAGGAACTATGTATTCAATTCACTACAACCACAAATATCCACAAAAAAAAACTAAATGTACTAGGCACTGTTCTAGGGACTGAAGATATAGCAGCAAATAAAGTAAAAACTCCCAGCTCACATTTTAGTGGATTAGAATTACAAGAATTTACCAGAAATTATTACTTTAGATTGTGGCTAATTCAGCAGCAAATGCCGATTGAAAAAGATAATTACAAAGACATGTATCCTAGGACCAGTAGGTGGCATAATAGTTAAGGCACTGGACTCCCACATAGCTGACCGCAGTTGAGTCCCAGACCTGACAGTCTGAAACTCCTACCAGGCACCTGAGTGTGTGTGCCCAGAATCCTAGGAGGAGAATAGAAGAAAAGGGATTGTAGCATGGCCATCTCCTCAGAGGAGGGGGGTGATTTCTCACTTTCTCTTTTACTATCTGTCTCTCTCTCGCTGTCTCACTCAGGTGAATGCATGTGCCCTGTGGCAAAAACCTAAAAAAAAAAAAAAGTAAGATATGTATCCTATCTTTCTTTAGCTAGTCTAGTTTTCTCTTTTTAAATTGATATAGGATGTGCATAGAGTAATCTGGTAAAAATGCACTAATTTTCAGTGTGCACTCTGATATATCTTTATATATTTATAGCATTCAAGACAAAATGAAGGATATTTTTAGCATTTGGAACTTTTTAATGGGCAATAAAATGGGTAGATAGGAACAGAGAATATACTTGGGAGATGCCCAGTAAACACCTTCTCAAAGGTAACCATGACTCTGACTTGTATCACAATAAATTAGTGCTGCCAATTTTTTAGCTTCATATAAATGGAACCACATGGTATATGCCTTTTTGTTTTTGTCTCCTATTACTCTGTTTGTGAGATTCAGCCATGTTGTGTGTAACCTAACTTGTTCTTCTTTTATTGTCATGTAGTATTCTAACATATTAAACATTATTGTTTATTCTTTTTTCTGTTAATGTTCACTTGCATTCTTTCTAAAGCTGGGGTATTTTGACAGTTTTGTGTTTGTTTCAACTTTGATCAAAACAGAATAATAAAATGTTTGTTTTATCAACTACAAGAAATTACACTGTGGGCTGGCCCTGTAGTGTAGTGGCTAAGCACTGGGCAGAGGAAGCCAACTAGAGTTTGAATCCTAGTCTCAATGGCTTCAAAAACACATCAGGGGGTATAACGGTTACGTCGATGGACTCCCACATAGTTGACCACAGTTCAAGTCCTAGACCCAGTAGCTTAAAATTCACACTTGGCACATGTGCGTGTGTGCCCAAAATCCCTAAAGGAGAATGGAGAAGAAGGGATTGCAGCGTGGCCATCCCTCCCGGGGGTGATTTCTTTGATTTCTTGCTTTCTGTCTCTCTTCCTCTGTGTCTCTGGAAAGCACAAGGACCCTATAGCAAAAATCTCTCTCTTAAGACAAACAAAAAACCCCACATCAGGTACATATGTGCCTGTATCTAGGATCATAATAGGACAGTGAATTGGAAGAAAAAAAATTGTGGTGTGACCAGACCCAGGTGGCAGGTGCTTTTGGTCATTCTCCTACTTCCCCAACATTTCTCTTGCTCTCTTTCTCATCTGCACACCCTCTTGCATCCCCAACATTTCTCTTGCTCTCTCTCATCTGCACACCCTCTTGCATTTAAATCAAAAAAAAAAAAAGAAAAGAAAAGGAAAGGAAAGGAAATAACGCTATAATGTTTTCATTGACTTAGGTGCCAATGAAAATCTTATTTCTGGGGCCAACAGGTAGTATGGTGATTAAGGCACTGAACTCCCATGGCTAATAGCAGTTTGCCTGGATCTGGTGGCTTGCTTTCTCACTTTCACTTTCTCCCTGGTGAATGCGCGTGCCCTGTAGCAAATTGAAAAATAGTAGTAATGATAAATAAAATTAAATTAAAATAATTCTTAAAAAAAAAAGAGAATCTTGGGGCCAGGAGATGGTGTAGTGGTTACATCATTGGACTCTCACATGGCAGACTGCAGTTTGAACTTGGACTCAGTGCTTTGAAAATCATACCAGGCACATGTGCATGCATGCCCAAGATCCCAGGAGGAGAATGGAGGAAAAAGGATTGTGGCGTGGCCACTCTCCAGGGCGGTAAATTCTAACTTTCCCTCTCACTGTTTCTGTCTGCCTCTGGAGTACACACACTCAAAGGCAAAAAACCTCTTTAAAAGAAGAAGAAGAAGAAGAAAAGAAAGAAGAAAGAAGAAAGAAGGAAGAAGGAAGAAGGAAGAAGGAAGAAGGAAGAAGAAGAAGAAGATCTTATTCCTGTTAGGAAGAGATTTTTATCCTTACATACAATGACAATTATATAACAAATTTTTATTCTAATTTTACCTATAAAAATAAAATTAAGAACCCAACTTTAACCTCTCTAAATGAATGTATTTCATAAAACTATCACATTTAACGCTTCCATAATATTTTTAAGTTTGTTTGTTTTGTTCTAGGATATGTGCACTCACCAGAGAGAGACAAGAGAGAGTTAGAGACAGAAAGGGAGAAATCATCCCTCCCCCAGGGAGATGGCCATGCAACAATCCCTTCTTCAGTTTCCTCTCAGGATTTTGGGCATGCAGGCACATATGCCTGGTGTGATTTCCAATCCAATGGGTCCAGGTCTCAAACTACACAGTCATGTAGGATGTAGCACCTTAGCCTCCATGTCACCAGCTAGCCCAACTCTTTCAGTTTTAATGTTTCAACTCTATTTCCCTTGAAAATATATTTTGTGTATAGGTCTTTAGAACTTACTATATGAATCCCCTTAAATAGCACTGTAGAATAAGGCAGGGAACAAAAATATTATTAATATTTACCTGGGACTCAGTCATATCCTTTTTTCTGGAAAGGAAGGGGACTCAAGAAGTCAGAACTGTGGAAGAGAATAAAAGTCATTAGAACAGACTTATCCTTCGGTTTCCGAAACCCCGCACACACAAAGTAGATTAAATGTCCCTCTGAGACTTGGATCCATCAGAAAGGCCAAGAATATTTACACCACAAAGGTGCTAATAGGTATAAAGATGACTTGTATAATCATGTGGCACTTAGGCATAGGGTAAAAGAAACAAATGCATATGTGGGAGATGCCCATGTATTTATCAATAGCTCTACATCAGAGAAAATAATAGGTTGTTGAGGAAGTCATGACATATGTTTTTATGCATCATGACTTTCCAGATGATCCAATATGTAGCTTCATGAGAATATGCACCTAAGAAAATTATTAAATTGACAAAATGCTTAAGGCATTTCAGTATATTAAGACATTTTTAAATAATTAATTAGTAGGGGCCACCAGGTGGCATGGTGATTAAGGGCACTGGACTCCCACATGGGCGACTGCAGTTCAAGTCCTGCTTGATTTCTCAATTTCTCTCTCTCTCTCACTCTTACTCTCATTCTGTTCCTCTCTGGTCAAATTAAAATAAATAAATAAATAAAATAATGAAGTAGGAATTAATGACAATTTAACAAAAAAGGCGGTATTTTTTAAGGAATGGAGTAAATATTTACATATATAAATATTTACATATATTTTAATACATATGTAAATATTTTTAAATACTTAAAAAGAAAAGAAAGTTCTGTATATGTCTATAGGTCCATTAGGTCTATAGCGTTATTTAAGTTCTGTTTCCTTATCGACCCTCTATTACAGTATAGTGTACTGGCGTGTATTTATCCCTTCAGTTCTGTCACTGTTTCCTTTACATATTTTGGTACTCTGGCATTTGATGCATATGTATTTATAATTGTATATCTTCCTGGGAGATGAATCTCTTTATTATTATAAAATATCTTTTTTATTTTTGGTTTCCTGTAGTTTTTTTAAAGAATTATTTTATTCAACTTTATTTATTTATATTTATTTTTATTTGACCAGAGGTGGGGGAGAGTGAGAAAGCAAGCTGTCAGGTTCCGGACTTGAACTGTAGTTGGCCATGTGAGAGTCCAGAGACTTTAACCACAATGCCACCTGTCGGCCCCTCTAGTAGCGATTTTTTACTTATTTTGTCTAATATAAGTATAGTCACCCTGCTATCTTCTGGTTATTATTTGCAGGGATTATCTCTTTCTATCCCCTAACTTTTGGCCTTGTATGTTTTAATTTTATTTTTTTTTAGATTTTTGCTATAGAACACATGCACTCACCAGAGACAGACAGAGAAGACAGTGAGAGGGAAAGTGAGAAATAATCCCCCAGAGGGGATGGCCATCCCACAATCCCTTTTCCTCTATTCTCTTCCTGGGATTCTGGGCACACATGCACATGCTCCTGGTGTGATCTTTTAAGCCACCAGGACTTGAACCATGGACAGCCACGTGGGAAGTCTAGCGCTTTAAACACCATGCCACCTGCTGGTCCATGTGTCCTTAAATCTAAAGTGAGTTTCTCGTAGACAGCATACAGTTGGGTCTTGTCCATTCATCAACAATATGTCTCTTGACTGAGGAGTTTAATCCATTTATAGTTACCATATTTATTGCTAGGGAAGGATTTATGATTTCTATTTTATTACTTATATTTTGTTAGTCTTATAGTTCCTTTATCTTTTCCTTTCTTGCTGTCTTCCTTTGTGTTTTATTGATTTTTTTCTTTGTATTGATATGCTTTGATTTCTTCCTCTCTCTTTTTATAAAAATTTGCTATAGCATCCATGTACTTGCTGGAGACAGACAGAGAAAAAGTGAGAAAACACATTTTAGTGGGCATGGCCACACTGTAATCCTTTTTCCATTTTCCTCTTAGGACTCTGGGCAGGCATGCACACACATCTAGTGTTTTTCAAGGTGCTGGATCCAGGCCTCAAATTATGCGGTCAGTCATGTGGGACCTAGCCACCTTAACCCCCATACCACCAGCTGGCCCCTGTAATTTTTCTTTTCTTTTCTTTCTTTTTTTTTTTTTTTTTTTTTGCTATAGGGTGCACATGTTTACCAAAGAGAGACAGATACAGAGAGAGAGTGTGAGATAGAATGAGAAATCATCTACCTGGGGTTATATCCAAATAAATGCTTAACTAGGAGAAAGGTGATTTAAACACAGAAGGTATGTACAGCATTTTAACAAACCTATTTATAATTCACAAAAGTGATACAAACTTGAAGACACTAGGAATAAGTCCAAAAAAGTACTGTACGAGCCCAGGTAAGAAAATTTATTCAGTATATTAAAGTTCATGAAAGTGGTTCTAAATAAATGCAATACTCAAAACTATGAAAAGTCAGCATGGTAAAGATACCTTTTTTCCTAATACTATATCTAAAATTAATATGATTCCAAACATAATGACCAGAGGTTTTGCACTCAACTTGACAAGCCAGTCTTCACATTTATTTAACATGAACACTAAACAAAGTGAGATTAAAAAATAACATAAATAGTAGGCTACCATTTTATGTATATGAGACTTGCTTATATTTAAAAATTTAAGTGGGCCAGCATGTGGCATGGAGGTTAAGATGGCTGGGTCTGGGGCTAGCAGGTAGCATGGTGGTTAAGGGCACTGGACTCCCACATGGCCAACCGTGGTTCGAGTCCTGGACCTGGTGGCTTGCTTTCTCACTTTCCCTCTCTCTCTCTCTCTCTCTCTCTCTTTCTCTCTGTTTTTCTCTCGCTCTGTCTCTCTCTGGTCAAATTTATAAAGTAAATAAGTAAAGTTAAATAAAATAAAAATAAAAAGCTGGCTGGGTCCCACATGACCAACTGTGCAGTTAGAGTCCTAGACCTGGTGGATTGATCACAGCAGTGGGCCAGAAGGTGGCAAAATGGTTAAGGCATTAGACTCTCACATGGCTGATGGTGGTTCAAGTCTCAGATGTGACAGCTTGAAAATCACACTGGGTGTGTATACATATGTGCATGCCAAAAATTCCAAGAAGAGAATTGAGGAGAAGAGATTGTGATATGGCATGCCCTGTGGGGGATGACTTCTCCCTTTCCCTCTCATTGTTGCTGTCTCTCTCCAGAGAGCACAAATGGCCTATGGAAAAAAAATTTTTAAAAAAAAGAAAGAAAAGAAAATCACACCAGGGGTGTGTGTGTGTGTGTGTGTGTGTATCCAGAATCCTGAGAAGAAACCAGAGGAGAAAGGACTATGGAGGAGAAAGGTCATCCACCCTGGGGGGTGATTTCTCACTTTCTCTCTCATTCTCTCTCTGTCTCTGGTGAGCACATGTGCCATACAGCAAAAACACTAAAAAAATAAATAAATAAAAGGAATAAAGGGCCACATGGTGATGCAGTGGTAATGCAACTTGTCTCACATAGAAAGGTACCATGTTTGCATGTCAGGACCTCCCTGTATATACCGGATACATGCACATATGCTCATGATCTGGGCTGTCTTAAAAGAAACTGACAAATTTTTTAAAAAATAGAAAGAAAGCTCCCCAAACTAGTGAATTTTCAAAATAACTACTCATAAGAATAAAGGAAGAACAGTTAGTAGAGACACAAACAGAACACAAAATAGGACTTCTCTTTGTCTTGTATAATTGACTTTCCAACCATGTAAATGTTTTTATATAATTATAAAACAAAATTAAATCAGATGTTAAAAGCTAAACCTAAAAAGCAAAAAGAACAGGGCCAGATGGTGGCATGGTGGTTAAGGCAGTTGGATCCCACATGGCAAACTACATGGTTCAGGTGCATGTGCATTCATGCCTAAAATTCCAAAAGGAGAAATGGAGAAGAGACTGTGGTGTGACCAACCCTATGGGAAAGTGTTTTCTCACTTTCCTTCGCTTTCTCTCTGTGTTTCTCCAGTGAGCTCATACGCCCTCTAGCAAATTAAATAAATAAAATAAATTAGCAAAATCATATGTCAAGTTTGTGACTTAACCATACAGAAAGAATTAGTTCTAGTTATTTTAAAGCACAAATATTCAGATTATACTTCCTTAGAGGCATAGACCCCAACAAATGGATCTATAAAGAAATGTAAATCTATATGCAGAGGGTATAAGTACTGAAAATGTTGCTCTAAAACTATCTTACGTATATGTACACACATAAACGAATAGATGAGCAAATAAAAAGACAAAAATAAAACCAAAGTTAAAAGTTGTTTTAGTTTTTCAGTTTTTGCTATAGGGCACATATGTGAGCCAGAGAAAGACAGAGACAAGAAACAGAGAGGGAAGTAAGAAATCATCCCCCCAGGGGGGGATAGTCACACTGTAATCCTCTTTTTCTTTTTTTTGGAGAGGTTTTTGCTATTGGGCACGTGCACTCGTCAGAAAGACAGAGAGAGACAGAGATAGAAAACGAGACATCGCCACCCAGGGGAGATGGCCATGCCGAATCCCTTCTCCTCCTTTCTCCTCTTGGGATCTTGGGCACGCACGCACACGCACCCGGCTTGAGTTTAAGCCACCAGGTCCGGGACTCGAACCGCAGTCAACTACATGAGAGTCCAATGACATAGCCATTACACTAACTGCTGGTCCCACACTGTAATCCTTTCCACTCTTTTCTTGGAATTTTGGGCATGCATGTGCATGCGCCTGGAGTGATTTTCAACCTGTTGAGCCCAGGACTCAAAATACAAAGCTGGCCATGTGAGATTCAGTGCCTTAACCTTCACACCATCTGCTGGCCCTGTAATTATAAATTTTTAACATTGGAAATAGCAGTATAAACTCATGATGCCTATTTTGTGAAGAATGTATGCATTTTCCTGCTACAGAATAAATGAAAGCATGCCAAATGAAAAAAAAAGGTCAAAAAAGGCCACATTTATATAAAATATCTGCAATTGGCAAATATACAGAGACAGAAGGCACTCACTGTGTGAGTTTTTTTTTTTTTAAGAATTATTTCGTTTAACTTTATTTATTTATTTATTTAAATTTGACCAGAGAGGGACAGAACAAGAGAGAAAGAGAGAGAAAGTGAGAAAGCAAGCTGCCAGGTCTAAGATTTAAACCACAGAGTCAGCCATGTGGGAGGCCAGTGCCCTTAACCACCATGCCACCTGCCGCCCCCTCATTGTGTGAGTTTTAAGCCTCTGGATCCAGGATTGGAACTGCAGCCGACTATGTGGGAGTCCAGCAACGTAACCATTATGCCTTCTGCAGGTCCCAATTACTTTCTTTTTAAAACTCAAATATTCCCATGTTTCGCCACCTTCTCAAGATAGTTTGAGTCCTACTAACACATCCCTGTAATCACTGATAGTGTCCTACATGACTGGTATGACCAGATATCACAAGATCATTTTGACTATTTCCTGACTTAGGCATGAAATCAGCCTTTTCTGTATAGTTCCTTGATTCCTTTTAGACAGTTATAGTGGTTATTGCTATCATGGTCATTGTTTCTAAAATTTTTTGGGGTACAGAGTTAAAGAAGTGGGTTTTTTTCGTTTTCACAGCTTAATTAAGATATAATTTTTTTTTTTAGGTTTTTGCCACTGGGTACATGTGCTTGCTAGAGAGAAACAGTGAGAGGGAAAGTAAGAAATCACCACCCAGGGACCAGCAGTTAGTGTAATGGCTATGTCACTGAACTCCCACATAGTCAACTGTGGTTCGAGTCCCAGACCCGGTAGCTTAAACTCATGCTGGGCGCATGTGTGTGTGTGCCCAAGATCCTGAGAGGAGAATGGAGGAGAAGGGATTGCAGTGTGGCCATCCCCCCCTGGATGCCACACTCATGGCAGAGTTTTGCAATTGTTTAAATGGAGAGAAATTAACCATGTATTGTTAAATGAAGTTTTAATAAAGCTATCTCTCTGTATCTCTCTGTCTTTCTGGTGAGCGCATGTGCCCTATAGCAAAAACCTCTCCAAAAAAAGAAAAAAGAAAGAAAGAAAGAAAGAAATCACGACCCAGGGGGAATGGCCATGCCACAGTCCCTTCTCCTCCACTCTACCCCTTTGGATTTGAGGCATGCACACACTGTTTCCTACTTACCTGGCCTAAAACCCAGGGTCAAAGAATTTAATCAGTCCTTGCCAACATGCCTCATTTGTTTCATGAGGCCAACATTCCCCTACCCTTTGATATCTGGTCAACCAGAAATGTAGGTCACTATCAAAGACTATGAGAGATGTGTTATCACTAAATACAACCATTTCCCTATCCTGTTTGTGGCTGCAACTCTATAAATTTTTTCTTCAAACATTGTAGAAGAAATAGGTTCACTTTAAATTCACAGATAAGACCATCAGGTGGGTCTTTAATGCTGCCTGAAAATCATTAAATTCCTCTATTCTCTGTCCTACTCTCCTAATTTCTTTTCTCTCGCCTCATATGCTTTACACCTTTTCCATCGAGCTCACTCTCAGCTGAGTCTCTTGCTTCCTTCTTCTTTTCCCTATAAAGTTTATACAACCAAAAGAAAAAAATTACAAGCTCTTACCTATACACCTGCCTATCTACCTGGATCTGTGCCCAAATACTTGTTCCTTCTTTCCTGATACAACCATGATCATGCTCCAAGCATGATCTAGTAGATCATGTACGTGACATTAGATCTAGTACGTGACAGGTTCTCACCATTTTCACCACTCTGGTACAGGTCACCAATATCCTTTCCCTAGATCATTCCAACAGTTTCCAAATTCATCTTCTGCTTTTTTCCTTGCTCCACCCCAACCCTTTACTCATTCCATTCTCATCAGAGTAGCCACAGTGATACTCTTAAATTGTGAGTATGGTAGGTAATATTGGGTCATTAAGAAAGTCATGATGCATTTTTGCATGGAAAAATAGAAAAATGCATTATGAATTTCACAATGACCTAATAATATCACTCTTATGCCCAGAACTTTCTAATAGCTTCTCATTTCAGAATGTCAACATCATTATTATGGACCATAACGTCCAACAGATCTGTCCTCTTCCCCTCCATTTTCTTTTCTTCTCTCTTTTCCCCATGCCTCCCCCCTCCCCCACCCCGGTTTGCTATATTTCAACCACTCTAGTTTCTTCATTGTCATAGGCCTATGGTCACCTCAGAGCCTTTACAACTGTCATTCCTTCTGCCTGGAATAATCTTCCCTGATTTTTATGCATAACTAGCTCCTTTACTTTCTTTATACCTTTATTACTTCCTTTTCAGGATGATTTCTCTGGCTAGCCCATATAAATATCAAACTCCTTATGTATAATTTTAAATATACTTCTGCTTCACTTTTTCTCCTGTTTTTTACCATTTAACGTATTTTGTATTTAATTTACTTACCTTGCTTATTATCTGGCTCACAACAGTGTAAGCACCATGATAGAAGGGGGTTTGTCTCTTGTTCACTGCTTCCAAAACACTTAGATTTGTGCCTGATATATAGATGGCATTCAGTAAATATGAATGAAGGAATTCTTACTACTTGAAGAACTCTGGAAAAGAAATTTGAAAATAGAATACTACTTCAGAAAACATGTATTCCACAAAAAAGTTTTTAAAAGTGCTTTACTGGTATAAGCAGGTGGCATGGTGGTTAAGGGTGCTGGATTCCCACATGGCCAACTGAGGTTCAAGTCCTAGACCTGGAAGCTTGCTTTCTCACTTTCCCTCTCTCTCTCTGTCCCTCTCTGGTCAAATTAAAATAAATAAAATAAATAAAGTTATATAAAATAATTTTTAGAAAGTGCTTTACTTTAGTAGCAAACAATTGCAAATTGAAGTTTTAATAAAGCTATAAAGATTAACAACGATTACTAACATTTATGGTATCCATTGTTAACAAGGATATATGGACTAATTTAGGCAACTTTATACTCTACCAACAATACCGTAGGTTATTGGAACCTTACAGAAGAATAACCGGATGGATCATGAAGCTCTTAATAAGGGTATACGCTTTAATCTATCAATTCTACTCCTAGAGGTTTGCCTCCCCACAAAATAAAGAATTGGAGAAGTACATTAACACATGTGCCAAATACCTGCTGACAAATACATTTCTTATAATGACAAAAACAAAAGTTAGAAAGAACCAAGTTGCACATCGATGGGGTGAATGCATTAAGATGTATACCACGAACAACTTTAAAATAATGGCAGAGTTTTGCAATTGTTTAAATGGAGAGAAATTAACCATGTATTGTTAAATGAGAAAGGTAGGTTAGTGTGTGTATAGTGTGATTGAAAAACAATTTGTTTTTGCCATAGAGCACCTGTGCTTGTAACAGAGACAGAGCCCCCAAACCCCCGCTGACCCCGACCCTGACTCCGACCCCAACCCCACACAACAATCCCTTCTCCTCCCGTTCTTCTGCGATACTGGGCATGCATGCACACGATCCTGGCTAATTTTCAAGCCGCCATGTCTGGGACTCTAACCATGAGCAGTCATGTGGGAGTCCAGCAACTTAACAACCATGCCACCTCCTGGATCCTTGAGTAATTGGAATTTTAAGTCCTTAACCTCATATATAAGAACATATGAGTGCATGTGTATATATTCACAAAGGGAGGAGTGAAAAATGGTAAGTAAATTTTGACAGTGGTTCAGTGACTTACAAAATTATGAATGATTTTTGTTCTCTGAGCCTTTCTGTATTTTGTGATTGGGGAGTGTGGAATGGGAGACAAGAATAATGAATTAAGTATATACCCCAAACGATGTCACTAATACAAGAAAATTAAACTAAAAAATGTAAATGTTCAATACAAACAAACATACCCTATCTCCCATTTATGGAATTTCTTAGGACCACAGTAACTGCACGTTCGCAACCACATTCATATTGAAACATTAAAGTCCCATCCAATAAAACCCACTTACACACAGGATCCCACAGCCACACTCATCCAGACAAATGTCTGGCAAATTACAGTGGCGTCACGCCACACACTCTCAGTCCTTTACATGGGACTCCCACGGTCTCAAGGAACCTTGGGCACAGGCATCGCGCTCTGAGCGGCGTCCTCTTCCAGCGACACTGGTACCGCGTCGGCAGGCCCCTATTTCCAGCCAACACCAAGTCCCGCGCTCAGAGCTCGCGGCTTCCGGGGAACTCACCACAGAGCTCACGAACACAGGCCCGGATTCCACACCCCAACGCAGCCCAACGGGCACAGGCAGTGCGCCTTGACAGGAGCGCCACTGAGGTCACCGCGGCTGCGGCTGAGGACAACACAAGCCTTGGTCCGTTAGACGCTGTATTTCCCAGAGGCCCCTGCGGCTCGCCCGGGTGGGAATGGCCTCCCTGCTTGCCGGCAGTGAGAGTGCCAGTCGCGCATTTAAGGCCGCAGTGCTCAGTGCGCGGGGATCAGCGTAGGGGGTTGCCGGTGCGACCTCCCTTCAGCGGCGCACCCAGAACCTAAGAGTGCAGCTTAATGCAGAGAAAAGTCGGAACCGGTTCGCAGCTTTCCTGTCCTGGACTCCATTTCCCAGAGACCTTCGCGGTCTATTTTCAGCAAAAAGGTAGTTCTGCTTTACCATTGGCTGGATCTTCAGGTTCGCGGTGTTCTGGCGTCTGGTCCGCAAAGGAAGCGTCGCTCAATTTGTTTGGTTCCCTCTCGTCCGGGCTCCACTACAGCGGGATGAAGACGCGGAAAGAACAGGGGTCAGGAAGGCTCCACCAGCCTGAGCTTCAAGCTCTTGGCGGCAGTCAGAAGAGGGAGGACTGACGGTGTGTGACACTTACGCTCTGGAATTTGCGGTGTGGAGTTAATGGGGTTGAGAGACTGAGAACCAGCGACTTTTGAGCGCATACAAATCTGTGACCATTTGTGTGAGCATGGTGCACTGTATATATTCTTATGACTGATTCTGACCTGGGTGAAGTTTTGTCAAAGGCAGTGTGCTTATGTCTGTTGTTTCTAGACTCTTCTGTTGAGACTATGACAGTGTTATTGGACGTAATGAACTGGGATTGTGAATATGATCTATAGGCAGAGTTGTACGACCAGACCATCTAGATTCTAAGTGGACCTGCCATTTACTAGCTGTGTAACGTTGAACTTAACTTCTGTGCCCTTTGTCAATATCAGTAATAAAGAGTAACAATAACTGCCTCATAGAGTTTGGGTGGACATTTTCAGGTTTAAGTAAGATAAGCCAGATGCACAAATGGTCTAAAGTATTTTTTAAGAGAGATTTTATAGGGCACGTGCACTCACCAGAAAGACTGAAAGCGAGAAATTACCTCCCAGCGGAGTAGCCACACTTTTTTTTTGGTCCGTTAGACGCTGTATTTCCCAGAGTCCCCTGCGGCTCGCCCGGGTGGGAATGGCCTCCCTGCTTGCCGGCAGTGAGAGTGCCAGTCGCGCATTTAAGGCCGCAGTGCTCAGTGCGCGGGGATCAGCGTAGGGGGTTGCCGGTGCGACCTCCCTTCAGCGGCGCACCCAGAACCTAAGAGTGCAGCTTAATGCAGAGAAAAGTCGGAACCGGTTCGCAGCTTTCCTGTCCTGGACTCCATTTCCCAGAGACCTTCGCGGTCTATTTTCAGCAAAAAGGTAGTTCTGCTTTACCATTGGCTGGATCTTCAGGTTCGCGGTGTTCTGGCGTCTGGTCCGCAAAGGAAGCGTCGCTCAATTTGTTTGGTTCCCTCTCGTCCGGGCTCCACTACAGCGGGATGAAGACGCGGAAAGAACAGGGGTCAGGAAGGCTCCACCAGCCTGAGCTTCAAGCTCTTGGCGGCAGTCAGAAGAGGGAGGACTGACGGTGTGTGACACTTACGCTCTGGAATTTGCGGTGTGGAGTTAATGGGGTTGAGAGACTGAGAACCAGCGACTTTTGAGCGCATACAAATCTGTGACCATTTGTGTGAGCATGGTGCACTGTATATATTCTTATGACTGATTCTGACCTGGGTGAAGTTTTGTCAAAGGCAGTGTGCTTATGTCTGTTGTTTCTAGACTCTTCTGTTGAGACTATGACAGTGTTATTGGACGTAATGAACTGGGATTGTGAATATGATCTATAGGCAGAGTTGTACGACCAGACCATCTAGATTCTAAGTGGACCTGCCATTTACTAGCTGTGTAACGTTGAACTTAACTTCTGTGCCCTTTGTCAATATCAGTAATAAAGAGTAACAATAACTGCCTCATAGAGTTTGGGTGGACATTTTCAGGTTTAAGTAAGATAAGCCAGATGCACAAATGGTCTAAAGTATTTTTTAAGAGAGATTTTATAGGGCACGTGCACTCACCAGAAAGACTGAAAGCGAGAAATTACCTCCCAGCGGAGTAGCCACACTACAATCCCTTCTCCATTCTCCGGAGTCTCAGGATTTTAGGCATGCACGCACACACACCTGGAGTGAGTTTTAAGGTGCAGGGCCCAGGACTCGGACCACAGTCAATCACGTGAGAGTCCAGCAATGTAACCATTATGCCATCTGCTGTTCCCCAGCATGAGTGTTAAGCTCTGGGTCTGAGACTTGAACTATGGTTGACTACGTGGGAGTAAGCAACATTATGCTGTCTGCTGGTCTTGGTCTAAAGTAATCTTAAATTCTGATTTGTGGACTCTAATAGCCACTAAGCATTCATAACTCTTACTGAGCAGCTGGTGGTGTAATAGTTAAGGCAGCTGGGTTTCACATGGCTGACTTCGCGCTTGAGTCCTGGACGGAACAGCTTGAAAAACATGCCAGGTGCATGTGGGCATGCCCAAAAATCCTAAGAGAAGATACTGCTTGACAACTGGGAGGGGGCGGGTGCATGCTTTCTCACTCTCCTCCTCTCCCCCCCTCCCCCAGAGAGAGCATGCACCCTACAGCAAAACTACCAAAAAAGAAAAAAATTCTGTTACATTTGACAATATGAATGAATCCTGAGAACATTGTTCTAAGTGAAATAAATCAGTTAAAAATGGCAAATGCTAGGGGCCAGCAGGTGGCATAGTGGTTAAGGCACTAGACTCTCACATGGTCAATGCAGTTCAAGTCCTGAATCCTGCAGTTTGAAACTCACGCGGGGTATGAGTGTGTGCATCCCCAAGATCCTGAGAGGAGAATGGAGGAGAAGAGATTGCAGCATGGTCATCCTCCCTGGAGGGTGATTTCTCACTTTCTCCATCTCTCTATGTCTCTCTGGCCTGCACATGCACACTATAGCAAAACTATCTCCCCCCACCAAAAAAAAAAAAAACATGGCAAATACTGCATGGTTTCTTTTAAGAGTCATCTAAATAGTTAGAACACATAGAAGAGGAGTATAGTGATGGTTGCCAGGCACTAACCTCTATGCCACCTGCTGGCCCCAGGATTTCCTTTTTTAATTAATTAATTTTTAATTAAGAAATAATTGTGTTTTGATCTATGTACACACTGTACAAAGATTCAATCAAGAGAAATAAAATAAGCCAGACAGAGAAAGTTAAGTACCATGTAATCTGACTCACATGTAATGCCAGTAACATACTGTCTTGGTTATTATAGTTTTGAAATATATTTTGAAGTACAATAATATGATGATTCTAGCTCTGTACATTTTGCTCAAGATTGCTTTAGCTATTTAGGGTCTATAAATTTGGTTTTATGCAAATTTAATGATTGTTTTTTTCTATTTGTATAAAGAATGTCATTGGATTTTTTTTTTGGGATGTTTTTCTTTTTTCTTT